ATAGCCGATTTATCAATTTTGAAATTTAGTAGAACTTTAAGCCATCTTTTGAAAATAATCAATTTTATATCATTCATGAATATATGTCAAAGTCAAATATAAAATTATCTTAATGTTAATATTTACTATTTTACAAGCTAAATGACCTGTTTTACATGGCAAATAAATAAATCTGAAATCTAAAAGTTTTCTTATTTCCAAAGTAAAAGGCAGTATGTTTGTTTATTAAAATGTGGTAATTTCGTTCCAATCAAATCAAATAAAATTTATTTGAGATAAACATAAGCTCAATTTGGTTGTCATTGTAGAATATAATGATTTAGAGTTTCGTTGATTTTGAGTAACTACTATTTTATAACAATTTTGCTAGTATTGAGTCTATTTTGAAATATTTAGTCATTTTAATATCCATCAATAATTTTTCAATATCATACTCGGTTTTTCAAACGACTTCAAGAAAGGAAGACGTTTTCAATTAAACAAAATTTTATGGTTTTAGGTTTTTTCTAGATACATCGATTTTTAATTGAAAGCTGATGCTGAACGTGTAGTCTTATACAAATTTGATCAAAATCTGACCAGTAGTTTTTGAGTTATCATCGATTCATATCGATTTATTCGTGGTGTCGAATTTCTCGCTCTGTGGTATTGAGACTTAAAAATAAATAAAAAAAGTAAGTTGTAACTCAATATATCAAGCCCGCGTCACTTATAACGAAATATGTTTTATATTAAACTGTGTAACCACGATTTTTAGAATAATATTGCAACACTGCTCGTGATTGGATAGATTCAATTTTGTTTAGGTTCTCATTATAAAATACCGACTCTTGAAACGCAGTTCTTATTTACTCTGTGTACAATATTTTAAACTGACTATATATTTTTTAAGAATATCGATGTAATATAGGCAAAGATCGCATGACCATAATGCCTATTAGTATTTCCACAAAGCTTTTAATACCCATATAGTAGAGGCCCGCTTCAAACCGCTCTAGGCTGTGTTCGAATTCCATGGTCTGGCATTGAGCTCAAGTGAACGCGACTCTATTACATCGTAAATGTAACAATAATAAAATTAATTTTATCCGTAATAAAGCGAATAATTTGTTTTACTACCTACATGGTTAGCGGTGAATACTATATATATAAAATAAGTATAACGGCAGAGGAATACCGAAAAAAGATGGATGGACTATGTGAAAGATGATATTATAAGAAAGGCAGTAAATAACGAGATGACTTACGCCGATCACAAATTAATGAAATAAGGAAGAAGCATATGATGATGACGGTGAATACGTTACTATGGCTTTCAAGATTCGATTCTTAGTTATGTTAATATAATTAAACTTTTATTTCAGTAAATGGATTAGCGAAAACAAATAAAAGTCGATCTTACGGAAAGAAGTTACTATTACCAATGTAAAATGAATAGAACCACGGATATCATCATGAGACCCTCATGCGTTATCATTCCGGAAGACTTAATTGTCATGTCTCCGTACCCAGGAATTTCTCTGCCATATCTCATATTTCAACCGAAACACAGCTTACAGAGCAAGTATAGCGGATGAAATAGGTGAGTCAGAGATGCCCACGCAGACGAGTTGTTCTAATGTTCATGCTATGATTTCTCACATACCTACCTAATATTGTATTTTAGATTATCAAATTCTATGTTTCACTTTGTCTATGACAATTTTTATATTTTTATCACCCGACGCGCAATTTCCTCTGCATCACATTTTGGCCATATAACTATAGCCATGTGTTCTTTGCCTATATAAACTGAATATTGTTAGAAAAGAAAAAAATATTCTTTATTCAAATAAATTAATTTAAGCATTTTTGAATAGTCAAAGTTATTTTTTTTAATATACCGCTCATTCGGAAAGCTGTGTCATCACAAGAAGAACGTGCAAGAAATTCGCGTGTCGCTTAACAAAAACTATATTGTTAGTTTAAAATATCCTACTGGTCGTATCGTAAAGGTATAAAGTCCATAACTATTATTAGTTAAAATAGCTATCCAACACTATAAGGATTATTTTATTTGACATTTGGAGTTATTTTAACATCAGCGCATATAACCAACCAAAATATTCAGTTTTATATACATATATACTAATTACCCGTCCCGGCTTCGCACGGGTGTACATGCTTTATACATATAAACCTTCCTCTTGAATAACTCTATCTATAGCTACAAACTGGATTGAATTCGTTGCGTAGTTTAAAAGATATAAGTAAAAAGACAACGGAAGCCACTTCATTTTAAATTATACAATGTAAACATACATTTTTATATTAAAGAGGATGAACCCCAGAGGAATTGCAGTGCGTTGCTGGCCATTTAAGAAGGAATAAGCTCGTCTCTTGAAGGTTTCAATATCATTTTGGTTCGGTAATATTTAGATAGCTATTTAGAGTGTATAAATTTTAATTTAATAGCAGTTGTAGAGATAGTTTTGATCTTATTTTATCAGTATTCTAGTTGTCTCTTGTTATATGTTTGAGGGTTTCATGTAGGATTTCATGTAGGTTATAATTTAAAAAATATATACCTATAGATAACAGCTTATCAATCTGGAATCATGTCACATTTCAAAGATGAAAATAATATCACAAATTGGTATAGTGCTTTCACTGTTTTTTTATACTACGATGGTGGCAAACAAGCATACGACCCAACTGATGGTAAAATCCCTTCCTCATAATAATATCCGCTCTCTGTATATTAGTATGTACTATAGATTAATTTATTTAAATAGAAGTAAATGAAATAGGTAACTAATTTTATTAGGGAGTTTAAAATAAACCTGTTTATTTAATAAGTGATTATAATAAAAGTTTACAATATCTAAATAAAAATCAAATGAAATCATTTATACATGTAGGATATGCCTTTTTTATGAACATTTGATTACGATCGTAAAGTTTTTTGTATCACATTTTTCCCTACCGTCCATTTAAGATTCAAAGATTCAATTCAGAATAACTGACAATAAACTCAACTGAATTTCTTTTTTTTTATTATTAGGTTATCAGTACGATGTTTTAGTCACTTATACAAGTCCAGGTTTTGGTATTCATATTTTGTAATATTAATTAAAACGGCCCAGTTAAATGAAGGATGTGGGTAAGGATTAAGGGCGTTGGCACTTGGTTACTTAAATTTGTAATACCTAATAATAATCTCATAGATTTAGCATACTTTCATACTCAATGTTGATTTATTACTTAAGTTTATAAAGTATTGACGGTCTCGGTGGTTTAGGGATTAGCATATCACTGTAGCGAGTTTGATTCTTCACACTTGTCATAACATTATTTTATTACACGTTATTCTCATTAGTTCCCATATAAAGATATAGGGTCAAGCAATACCAATGTATATAATTTAAAATTATTGAACAATTCATTAAGTATATCCATTACTCGTAATTTATTTATTTTAAAATATTTTTTTATATATTTTCATATTTTATTTCAAACACAGGGCAATTACAACTACTTACGTTTTATAAGAATTGGGACCGGCCTTAAGAAAATTGGATCTATGTAACAACCTGTATTCGTTCTTAAAAAGGTGAGCTTGCATAATTAACACTAAAAGGTTGGGTTGTAATTTAGACTGGTTTGTATTTACAGATAAAAAACTCAAATTGAATCTGTGCAAACAATTTCTTGCAAATATTAGTGCACTAGCACGAATATTAGCATCTAATAATAGTGGTATCATCGATTCATACAAAATTATTTTATTTGGCTGAAAGAGAATTTCCAGGGCCTTAAAACTACTTATTAAAAAAAATGAAATTAATTCGTTCCTAGTGACAAGTCTTCTACAAAGTAGATATTGAAATAATTTTGAACTAACGTAGGTACTGGCAGCTTACATTTTTGTTTTATTAAATATTTTTTTAAACTTTGTTCCAATATTGAACTGGTCATTTGCACCAATTCTAATTGGAATATAAGGAAATCTAAAAATGCCGCTTTACACTACTGATAGAATAGTAGATTTGAAGTACCTAATTCGCTTAAAACTATAGTTTTTAATACTACTTTTACATTATGAGAGGCCTATTGCAATCGGGGCATTATAAAAAGCAAATCGTCCTATATTTGATTTTTGTGAATAGTTATTATAACGCGAAGTAAATTTATTATTAGATCAATTAGAATTGTTCTATATTAAAAATTATTTCTTTTTCCAGTAGGTCTCTTAGTTAGTATAGATTGAGATAGACTTTGAAGGTAGTCGTGTCTGTGGATAACATAGTAATTATGTCTCACCGTATTAATACTATATCTCACATCTTTCAAACATCAAACAGATTAGGTACTTAGTGAGAAGTTTAGTAAAGCAGTGAAATTACAAAGTACGAGCCATGACTTAGTCTTCCAGAATGGTAATTCATGCGTTCGTTGTGGCGAACGTGATGTCCATAATAGGTACTGTTTGTGCAGATTTATAGGGCACGGTTACCACTTACCATCAGGTGGTCCAACAGCCTATTAGCCAAGTTCTAGACTATTCTGTTATAGGGTCAGGCTTTGGTATTGTCAATAGTATATAAAAAAATTAACTTAGTACATACAAAAATTAACTTATATGAATTATCTAATGTGGTCTTTGAATAGGTAAGGTTAGAGTTAAAGTTAACTAACTAATAATGAACCAACTTTGTATTGTATTTTGAATAGATATGTGCTTAGTTTTTTAGTTGGTAGAGTCTGACAATTAGTCACTTACTAAAAAATATTTTTCCCCTATATAACGTAAGATTTATGAATACAGAATTAAAAAAATAAGTAGAGCCATAAGTAGGTACTACAGAGACTTAACTCCTTTTTTGTATTTTTTTACTCCACTCGTAAATTTCTTTTATAAACCAAAATTAAATCTTCAAGACAATAAATTAAACAGATAATTTACGAATAGTATACCTAAGACAAGTAATAAAAAGTAATTTAAAGAGTAGAGTACTTACGGTTTAGTGCAAGTCAAGCGATCAAACACAGCATCACTTTGTCACAAATATTTTTTAGAACACAATAAATAGTCACAGCACTTTTAGTCTTGTAAACGCACTCTTCTGCCGCAATCACAGTCGTGGAAAATTAAAAAACTTGTGTTCGATTTTTTAAATATTTTTTTAAAACGTACTTTTTCGGTTGATATCTTTTAAAATCTTATTGGCTTGTTAAATAAATGTATTAATTAGCACTAGTGACGTAGCGCAATCGAAATTATTGTTGCTGGCAATTAGAAAGAACGGGACAGGAATATAATTGCCGATCAATTAACGAACCATGCATTACGATTCACAATTACAGAGCACGTGGATCATTTTTCGATTTTACTTTTGCCTTTCCGTCACGTATCGCGATTTTGGCCGCGTTCAATATATTTTTCGTCACGTAACCGATGTCATTTTCGTCACTCCCGGTTTACGTGTCTAATCTATTGTCATATACGATAACCACTAAGTTTAACGGGCAATCGAATCACACACGATCACTGCACACTAAACACGGCTGATAACAGTCATCAAGTTTCGAAAAAACCGAATCGTCACTGGTCGAGAGTGAAAAAAAACAGCGCACGAACGCACACAAGCACAAAATTCTGTCCAATTAAAGATAATGTTTGTGGATATTTTAATAGCGTTCCCCTCCGTCGAAACTCGACACAACCAACTCCCGTAGAATTTAAACACTTAATGATCGGTTGGGGGAAATTGTCCGAGAAACGAACGGCCCAGCGTATCGCCCTCTCTTTCTATTTAGTACGGATCTATGCCACTTGTATGGGAGTTGTGGCGCTAGTGTGCGCCAATGGGCGTTACAGATTTAAAGGTGGAATGATTTAGGGGCGGAGCTTCCAGCTGATTGGTTAGCGTTTGTGGCGCGATTTTTTTCGTGTGTACGTGAGGAGAGCGCGGGTTGGCACTGAAGCATCGATCGCCGGCGCCAGGGTAACCATTATATGTTTTTTATGGGTATTTTTTGGCGGTGCTCTCTTCTGTAGTAACCTGTTATAAGAAGCCACGCCCAGCTGGCTTAGTACGTGCCAGAAGACGGGCAGAGGCTATCAATCCAGACCCAGGCCGTAGGCTTTTCGAGTTTTTTTTTATCGGAGTGCGTTCTTTTTTTAAATTTCTCGTGACGGTAACTTTGATTTGTGTGTGGTGTCAGTTACGCGGTATCAAGTTCCAACAAAGGAAAGGTCGTCGAACTCATATATTGTCACCGTGTTTTTATACAAGCTACGTTTGACCTGTTGATGTGTTTGTACAGTCAGGTGCAAAGATTTCTTAGTGCGATAACAAAATTCAATTTTATGTACCTACTATATAAGGGATATATTTTATAATGAAATTTATTCAAGTAACAAATTGTGTGACATCTGCACCTGTAGCCACTATGTAGAGCGACGTGACTCTACCCCGACTTACGGTAGTGAGTTCAAATCTAGCCGACACAAAAAAATACTGTTAATTTATATTTCTGACTAACTTTCTACTGAAGTAAACATCGTTAACAGCCCAAAAAATAATAACAAATTAAATTACACTTAACACCTGCCACCTAGCAATATGTGGGCATATCAAGTATTGCATTGAACATGAAGTCTACAATTGACAATGCTTCTGACTACCTCATATATAATAACAGCCGTGACGTTATCTTCTTAATCATCATCTGCCTCTTCCTTATCCCATCTATTTGTGGTCGGCGTAATATGTTTTTCTCTTTCATTCATCTCTGTTCGCAGTCATCTCGTTATTGACGGTATACTTACCTGTTTATTTATATATTTAGATTTTGTTACTGGAACCCGATGACTAGTCAGAACTACCTTAAGAGACGATGATTCTACTGGGAATCACACTCTACCCACGACGTAACTACCACATCTGTTCATAGTCTTCTACTAATTCAGAAAAATTAATAATACAGAAAAAGAATACACCTGTAACGGATATTTTGAAAATTAGCTAGTTTGTTACAGTAACTTTGTCCAGTTTGGTTTCTTTATAGTGTAATATACGAATAGGGTTGTATAAAATTATATTACATTACATTATGAGCATGATCACTGAATATTACATGAGTTACACTGTAACATTAAAGTTTTAATATTAGATGCCTATACGATTTTATCTGATACGGCAAACGTTATTATGCTATATAAATTATTGGATAGAATTTGGGTAGAAGTTGAAGGACCACCCTCTTCAACTAGTGGTATTAAAAATATAAGAAATAATAATATAAAAACTATCTTAACTTAACTTTATTATTTATACTTATCTTAATATAAAAACGACCTGTTCTCAAAAGAGATTGTTGGTAATGTGGACTAATAACTCCATTGCTATCAATGTACCATATCAGGTTGACTTCCACGCGGTTCCCCCTGGAAACCATCATGATTCATGGAGAATTTACCATGATGTGCTAACTGACGTGATCTCATACTCATCTTATCATCCTTCACTGGTGCCCCGCCAGCATAAACCATTAGCACAACCGGGTGCGCCACTCTATTATCATCTATAAGACCTAACCTCAGATTTATATAAATATATAATTAAATTGATAGAGTTATTTTGTAATTGTTTTCAAATTCAAATTCAAATTAAAAAATCTATTATTCATGTAGGACATTTTAGCCGCTTATGAACGTTTTATATTATATTATATATTTTTCCCTACCATCCAGTTCAGTACCTATTAGATCCAATTGAGAAGAACTGGCAAGAAACTCAATTGAATTACTTTGTTTTTAAAAGCCGGTTTATTTACAATGTATATTTATATAGGTGTCTATGTCTAACATGCATGAAGAACTGTTGCCATGCACGCTCGTCATTCAAGTAGGTAATCGTTTAGACTTTGTTTATATAAAAGAAATCATGTTAGGCGCAATTTCTTTATAAGCCTATGTTACATGGACATGATGTCTAGATCTTTTTAATATTATTTTCTTCAAATTTTTTTTTATACTACGATATTGGCAATCTAGCATACGGCCCACCTGATGGTAAATATTTACCGTAACCTATGAACGCCTGAAACACCAGGGGATTCACGTGCGCTCATTATTTTTTTAATTATATAATTTAAATAGCTTTTGCCCGCGGCTTCGCTCGCGTTAATTTATACCTTTAGGGGTGGAATTTATCAAAATCCTTTCTTAGGGGATGCCTACGTCATCGTAGCTTTATGCATGCAAAGTCTCAGCCCGATCGGTTTAAAATGGACAGAGTTTCATATAAACATTCATTCCCTATTTTATCCCTATGGGGGTAGAATTAATCAAAATCCTTTCTTAGTGGATGCCTACGTCATAACATCTACCTGCATGCCAAATTTCAGCCCGATCCTTCCAGTGGTTTTGGCTGTGCGTTGATAGATCACTATATCAGTCACCTTTGAGTTATATATATTTAGATAATAATAATCACAAATTTTACTGAGATAGACTTTTGAAAGTCTAAGTATAGTTACGCTAAAATATTTAAAGATTTTGAATATTTTAGTTGCCAAGCAGCTTGCAATGAAGATATTTCCGTTAAAGTGTGAGATAATTATTTAGCTATTCATTTATTGCATCATTTGCCTCGTATATAGGTATGTTATATTCTATAGTATGTATTAATTATTACCTAGTCCTCATACATATGATAATTATAGATAACTCATTATAACAATTATTAACTAAAATTAATAACAATTATACAAATTAAGGACCAAAAGTGGTAAAATAAACCTACCTGGGCATTTTTATTGTGACACGGCAGTTAAATTAAAAGGTATGGCAGGATAATACCCAAGTTATGTTATTCCAGAGGTCTAATTTCATGCCTCTTATAGTTTTATTTCACTAACTTTCCTGCACCCTACATACTTTACAGAACAAGCCGCTTGGCTGAAATAGGTGAGACTGAGGTACACACGTAAACGACTTTTTAGTCGACCTTAGGTCGTTATATATTACCTAGATATACATTCACGACTATTATCTCAACTGGGGTTAACAGAGGCATTATCAACTGTCGATATCATGGTGAACTGACACTTGAAACTACTCTACTTGCATTTCTCTCGCTTATGTTTGAGTTTTACGTGGCGTTCGATTGTTATCGGTGTTTCCATTACCGGAAGTTTAATTAAAAATGTTATTGAGACTACTACGTTTTTCGGTGTCAGTCAGAATTGAACTCACTACCTTTTTTAGCAGCCTATTAATGCTGCAAGTATGTACCTACTATTAAGATTATAAACACTGCTACATATTAAGATATTTACATAGAAAATGGTGTAACAATATCTATACATTTCCCAAGCTTTGAACAACAACTTAAGTTTCGCTACTCGTCGCTATACCCAATAATTATAAATGAAATAATTATTGCTCTATGCGAAGTTAATTTTAGAATATTTACATAACAAACACCTCATAAAACCTCCTGCCTATATAATAATTCACAGTACATAACATACGTAGGTAGATATATAATGTAGGCTACGATGCGCCTTTCAATGCAAAGCAATGAAACAAACATGGCGCTTTGCATTTCAAATACCGAACCATAGATCATTAAACGTCATGATGGGAACTTTTTTATTTTCTAAAAAAAGAACGCGACCATAACATAATAATCAGTAATAGCGCTTCAAGCGGCTTTATTGCGCTATAAAACTGCTTGCGCGGCGCCGGCTTTTCGAAATTCAAATTCGAATTTCGAATTGTTCCTAGAAGCACTAATAGGGTTACCGTGGAGTAAGCATTTTATACGTTTATTGTTTATTTATTTTACGTGGAACTGTGCTTTTCGCTCAGATTCTATTAAATGATTAGTATGCAATTATATTTACAATTAATGGTAACATTGCAACTACTAGTTCTGAATGATAAAAAAGCATTCATAAGTGCTTACAATGTCTGTTTATTATCTGTGTTAATTTATTTTACAAGCCTTTATATTATATCAGTTATTTTAATTCTACAAGAACTATCTTTCACTTGTGTGGTCGTTATATTATAGTACTAGAATATACCTAATTAAGATTATTTATATCTGCAATATTAACTATTAGAAACAGACATTGCAAACTAGTATAGTAAACCATAAATATCATCGAATTGCTTTTAATTTAAAAATGGTTAAGTAGTATAAAAAAACAATGAGAAGCCATAAACAAATCTCCAAACCAAAAAGGTTTGTTCACGCCTCATAAAAGCATAAAGGCATATCGGCAACAAACGATAAATGTCACAGAACTATAAATAAAACCGCCATGAAAAAAAACCATAAAATAACACAGAACTCTATTAAATCAACTACCGTTTGGGCAGAATGTTGTTTAAATAATAATTAATAGATTTTGAATGAATGTGACGAAATTCAATCTTAAAAATATTAATAAAAAATTTGACTATATAATTTTATTATCGGCTAAAATGTCCTATATGAATAAATAAATAACTTTTGTTTTGATTTGGTTTGGTTTGATTTGATTTGATATATTATATTGCTAGTGCTTTACATAGATTAGACTTATAAAAATATGTTGTAAAACAATTTATTTGTTGTAATAACCTTTAATGGTAACAGTAAAAGAGTACCGTAAATAGTAACACCTACCTACTGTAATAAATATTAAAGCGTAATAAATAAAACCTAAATATTTTCTT